AGATTCATCTGAACCGTTGTATGTATCATTCATACACATTGCTGTGTGGTAGTCCATTGCATGAATATACCACAATTTATATGTTGATGGTCACTTTCTGATATTTGGCTATCATGAATAATTCTGAAGTGAGCATTCTAATATCTGACTTTTTGCAGGGTATATGCCTAGGAGATGACCTGCTCAGTCATTGGCTCACATATTCATATATTTGGCTTCAAATTGCTGCCAAAGAGTTTTCCAAAGTGGTTGTACCAATTTGTACTCCCACAAGCTCACCAACACTGTGTATTCTGTCTTTTCAGTTTTTATCACTTCAGTGGGTCTGTTGTGGTGTCCCATTGAGGTTTTAATTTGTATTTCTCTGATGAATAATGAGACTGAACATCTTTTTTATATGTTTATTGGTCATGCCAAAATATTTTTTACTATCAGGAAGTGCAACATAAAGAGTTCCAACACTTGGGAAGAGTAGGATATTTTCTCTAACAGCTTAGACTACTTTTTTCTCAGGAAAACCACTCTAGAGGAGGAGGTTCCTGCCTTCTGCGCTGTGACAGGGGAAAGGGAGTGGGGAGAAGACCGAGAGGGGAGATGAGGACTTCCCTTCTTTGCCTGGGTCTGCCCTGGGTTTGAGAAGTGTGGTCTGTATCCAATGCCCAGTTTTCTGCCCCAGTGTGGTGTCTTCCTGGTCCTGGGGCCCTGGGACAGTTGACCTTTCAGTGGCTGGCTGGCAAAGGCTGTTTTCACTACACTCAGAGCAACCTGTAAGTAATTCAAGTGCAAAAGTAGGAGGGACTTAAAAGATTAAAAGAAAAGAAATCTAGCCCAAACTTCCTATAACCTATTTTTAAATTTTTTTTTTGAGGAAGATTATCCCTCAGCTAACATCTGCCACCAATCCTCCTCTTGTTGCTGAGGAAGAGTGGCCCTGAGCTAACATCCGTGCCCATCTTCCTCTACTTTCTATGTGGGATGCCTATCACAGCATGGCTTGACAAGCGGTGCCATGTCCATACACCAGATCCAAACCGGTGCACCCCGGGCCGCTGAAGGGGAACATGCGAACTTAACCACTGTGCTACGGGGCCGGCCCCTCCTATAACCTTCTTGTTTAGTCATTTGGCCTCTGCTTGCATACTTTCAATCATGGTGAACTCATTATTGCACGAGCAACCTATTCCCTTGCTGGGCCATTTTATTCCTGATGTGAGCAGCAATCTGCCTTCCTGTACCTGGACCTCAGTGATCCATGCTCTTCCCTCTGGGATCACCTTTGAAAGGCCTGAAGACAGCCGTCGTGTGCCCCCACAGTCTTCTCATCTCCGATGAAATGCCCCATCTTTCAGTCACAGCTCACATGACAAGGTGCCCAGGGAACTCTCTTTTCTGCTCCTATTCATTTGGATGGACTAAGCATCGGTCAGTGTCCACCTTCAAAAGCTGTGTCTGGAATCAGACCCCAGGGGCCATTGGCCTGCAGAGCTCCTTGCAGTTGCTGACCCAGCTGTGCTAACTCTCGGCCGCTTCCTCCACAGGGCTAGCTCCTTCAGATCCTTCATGTTTCCACTGAGACTCACCTGCTCAGACTGGCTTTTCCAGCCCACCCGACTAGAGAGCACCTCTTGTCAGCCTGTTTCAGTTTCTACATTTTCTTACTTAGGCATTTGCTTTGTTATTTTTTGTCTGTCTTCCCCTTCCTGTAAGCTCTGGGAGGCAGGAACTCTATGTGTCTAGTTCACCACTGTATCTCCAGTGCTTGGAACAGTGCTTGAAACATACAGAGCTCTCAGTAATGTTTTTAAAGGAAAGAATAGAAGCGATAGAGTCTAGATTTGAATCCTGGCAGTTTGATTCCTGAGCCTACGTCCTGAACTCCTATGCACGTTGTCCCTATCCCGTTATTTACGTTATTTAACTTTGTGTTGCGTATTTAGCCTACCTCCCATTCTGTTAGAAGCTACACCATTGCTTTTGCCTCCACCAGCACCTAGCATTGGCCGGGCCTCAGTGTCTGATTCAGGCCCGCCTGGGTATGGCCCACTGAAGGCCCAGTGCCTCTATGGCCAGTAGATGGTGCTGTTGAGTTCACACTGGTTATCACCCCCACTTGCCTACCTCCAGTTCACGGGAATGTGACATGTCCAAAGGCAGCTCCTGTCACCAGCAAACAGATCTCATCATAAGGAAGTTCTTAAACTGAACCCAAGTCCTTAACTTCTGTCCGTTGGTTCCAACTTTGTCCTTTGGAACCTCATGGAAATCTAATCTGTCCTTCACAAAAGCACTTAAAATACTTGGGAACAGCTATTCTGCTCCCTCGGGTATTTCCTTCTCTAGACCAAACGTATTTCAATAGTTTCTAATCTGGAAGTCTTCAAGCTCCTGCTCTACCGCACGTCCCCTGCCACCAGGTCTCTGGAGCCTGGCGCGCTGTCTTGCTCACAGCAAGTTTTCCATAAACAACGACGGAATGAGCAGGTGACCCCACACCATTGTCCTTTCAACTCCCGTCAGTTTGCATCTTTTCTTCTTGGTGCATGGAGCCCATAGGTCCACTCTTGTGGCACAGTGACTTAGCTGTGTCGAAAATTAAAATTAAATCCAGATAGAGAAAATTTGAAAGTTTGTTGTGCATATAAAGGAACAGTTTGTGAAACTGGAAGACATCAAGCTAAAGTGGCAAGAAGCTCAGAAAAGGAAGGTTATAGCTCCTTTTATATAAATAAGGAGGTCGGTTGATCTTGATTATAAGTGGCTGCTAGAAGCCTACATTCCTTTTTGGGTAACAGTGCTGCATAGCTTACTTGTTTGTAGCTGATTGACTGGGAAGCTATGAGATCGTGCTGATGTGAGGGAAGCTTAAGTTCCGTTGTGGTCAGAGACAACATTTTGGGGAAATCAGGATCGTTTTAAGTTTTGGTAATGTGGCTATGGGTGTTTGGTCTAGGAGTATATTAAAACCATGGCCTCTATTTTTGTTTTTTCTTTAACACTTCTCAACCCAAACTTCTACCAGCTGGGACTTTCCTTGGTAAAGCCCCTCCCCCTCTTTCCGAAAGCCTGCAGCACAGGTATAAACAGTTGGGGGAGTCTGGTTGCCATGTGCTTGGTCCTTGCTGTTCCCAGGTCTGTGTCAGTAGGGCCCTGGGCACGGCAGCAGCGGTGCAGCCAGGGCCTACGTCGGAGCTCTGATCACGAGAAAGGTGTGCGGTTCCCATGACAGAGCTTGATGGAGGCCTGTGGCTCCTTGACGTCTGTTCCCCTATCTATGATCTGCATGTTTGTCTCCTTTCCATCTGCTGAGGGCTCCTCTGTAATCAGCGGGTTGTCCTTTCTCTGATGTGGCTGGACTCTCCTTGCTCGTCAGCCCTGTGCTTCCTCTCTGTCTCCGAGCGTCTGATCTTGGATACCAATCTACGCACACCTTTACTGCTGAGAATAAAGACATTTCTTGGACTTGAGCCAGGCTGGAGAAGTGTGCTTGAGTCTCCCTCAGCCCAGGCAGAAGCTTCACTGTGAGGAAGGCTCTGTGGGGCCTCTGTGCAGGCTGGGGCACTAGGGAGCAGCTACTTATTCCAAATCTGGAAAATGGAAGAGAAAACTTACTCTACTCAGGTAGGGAGGCAGGAGAACTGTGCTTCAGGCACCTGGAGATGTTCAGGGAATCCAGAGCTTTTGGAAAGGCTCCCTTGGCATGCATGGCCTGTGGAAAGAAGCTCTCTAGCTCTGCGCAGGGACACTGCCTGCCTGGGTCACTGCTGTCTCTCCAGCACCTGGCATAGTGCCTGGCACTTGGTAGGTGATCAGTGAGCACTTGTTAGTGGGTGAACGAATGAATGAGAAGAAGACAGCTTCCGGAAATCTGGAAATCTGTTCTGTGTACCCCGGGCACTTCCTCATGCAAGTGAGAGCTCTGCTCTGGAGTCAAGAGGGACTCTGCTTAGAATCCTGACTTCACCACTTACTCGCTTTGTGAGGCCAGATCAGTTCCTTAACAAAGGGGCAACATATGAACTGTGTGAGGCTACTGTCAGGATTCTCTTAGAGAATGTGTGTAGAGCTCAGGGCCTGGTGCTTGTCATCTACAGACTCAGTGAGTGCCTGAGGGCTCCCTGTTGAAATCTTCCCAAGTCATCCCCTAGTTCTCTCTGCCTTAGAAAAGCTCTAAGATTGAGAGACTAGGGGGATCCGAGTGGCAGGAGGCCCTGAGTTCAGCCAAACAACCCTCTAATGGGGCACACACATATGACTGAGTAGGAAGGGGTCCCAGGGGAATGAATGAGGACCCCCTCTACCCCTCAGGAGGCTGGGCCTTTGGGCCCAGGTCAGAGCTCAGGGCATGGCTGAGGAAGCCACTATTGGTCCTCTTGTGTGAAGCTTGCTCCTCCTTGGCCCTTTCACACAACCCCAGAGTCCACAGCCTTGTGTTTCCTCCACAGATGGAGGGGGAACAGAGTGCAGGGAGGGAAAGCATGCTGCCAGGCTGTCCTGAAATCTGACCAGATGGCAAGGCAGACAATTACGGTCCTTGAGTCTGTGTTCATCTCAGAAGCACGCTTAGTTCTTCCTTCTAACAGGGATGCTATGCTCACAGGTGTCACGGATTGATTGAGGACCCCTTCTTTCACACAACTCTCCTGCTCCTCATTTTAGCCCCTTTCTCTGGAAAGCAAGGATCAGAGAGGAAAGATGCTATAGTGGAAGGAATCCTGGACCTGAAGCTTTGCATGTAGGCAGGTCCCAGGTACTGCTGGATTTTCTCAGGTGTAAAGTGTGTGCATAGGTGAGCCTATGCTACATTGGGGTTGGGGGTGGGGTGGTCCAGGTGACGCTTAAGGAGACTTCTTCCAGGATTGCTGTTTTATGCATCTGTGAAGTATATTTTTTATTCCTACTCTGGATTCTCCAAAAAAAAAAAAAAAAAGGAAAACATAATCGTGACAAGGATAGCAGATAATTGGGTACCGGAGAGGAAAGAGCACACGTCAAGTCAGACATCAGCTTTAGGATCAGCTTTATTCTGTATTTTACCTTCACCAGGGAGAAGAAGGCAAGGAAGCTGGAGAGCAGACCAGCCTGCACCACACATACACAAATCGCATCTCTAAAGAATGTACACGGCAGAAATGAAGGGTCCAAAGCAAACCAGCTGTGAAGCACAAAGACCAACCAGGACCCCAAACATTCCATCTCATCCTTCCTGATTGACTGTTGGGATTCAATCATTTACATAATTTGTTTCATTTTTTTTTTTTAAAGCACAACCCATCCAATCATTTGCTGTTCTTTTTTAGGAAGCAGAGACAAAATTACCCAATTTTTGATTTTTGCAACACCACCCACCTCTTCCCCACACCCATGGTGGGAGTCAGTGATCAGTGCAAAGTCCATTGAAATTCAGTTTGTTTTGAGGCTCGATTGAGAGGCTGACTCTCTGAAAGATGAATGGAGGCATCCTTGGCTGTTACACACCCAGGGATGGGTGAATTTTTGCCCCAAGGGAGCTGAACTAGGCTTCTGTGGTCTCCTCTGACAACCATAATCTTCCTACAGTTGAGACTTTCTACTAGACTGCTGAGAACAATACTTATTCACAGAGGTCCATGAAATACAGAAAGAACTGTCTTCAGAGACACAGAGCAAGTCCTGAAACACTGAGGAAGTCTGGAGGCAAGAACAGGGTGCACACAGAGGTACCCACAGGAGAAGGTCACCATTGCATGGGCTGGGGATGGGTTTTCATCTCTTGGCCATCTTCTTGACCCCAGATGGCATTATAAGCAGCTACTTTCCCTTGCCAGGGGGTAAGCACTTCTCCTGGACTTTCTGTGGGCAAACCTCCACACATTTTGTCTGAGATAGCTCCTGGCATGGCTCCACACACTGAGGTGGGCATTGGTCTTGGCATGGAGGTAGGCATGGATCTTGGCCTTGCTGTGGGCAGTTTTCTTGGTTTAACTCCTGGCACTGAGGAAGACACGCCTGCTGAGATTGCACTGGGCACTTTTCTTGGCAGGGGTCTTGGCGTGGGGGGAGGCACACCTCCTCAGTCTTTGCCTGGCACTGCTCTTGGATCTTCTGAAGACACGGAGGAGGCGTGCATGGCTGCTTGCACTGCTGCTCATTAAAAGACATCCTAGGGTGATTTGCAGAACCTGAAACAAACACAGATTTGAATGATCTGCATTAAACAGTATCAGGCTGGGAACTGGGGAATGAAGTGTTGATAGAGGGGAATGGGGAGTGAATGATTAGCAACTCTAAGAACTTAGTTCTCTGCTGCAGTTTACCCTTCTTCTTTTCTATCCCTACTTCAGCTTCCTCTGACACTCATCTCTTACGTGGAGATGCTCTCAGAGCTTTTGTCTGGATATCCATAGCCTCAAACCCCAGTCCTACCACAGGTCTTTTCCTTCTCTTCTATTTGTCTAATCTCTTTGAAAATCAGGTGCAAGAGACTAGATAGAATACACAAGATGGTTTGAGAGGCCCAAGAAATGGCAAATGACTTCAAAAATCAGTAGAAACTACAGTCCAGTGGAGGAAGAGAACAACAGTAAACTCTCCTGGAGACATAGCAGCTAGGGAGAGAGAGGGTGCAGGCATCCCCACTTACCTGATCTTCAGTAAGACTCAACAATGATGTGGACTGTGGAGCCCAGCCAGGTAGGGACTTTTATATAGTGCTTGGTTCAGCCTCCCACAGGACTGACTGACCACGTGGGCTGAGGTCCTAATTGTGGGGTCACTATAATGAGCTTCCTCTGAAATTGCCCATAGTTTGAGTCACTGCTTGGGATGCCTATTAATCAGGCTCCATTTTGGCCTCTGGGTCCTCACCAGACCTCAGCAGGGAGGGGCTCCTCTCAGATCTCTCTCATTAGAGGCAGCAGCAAAGGAATGTTCATAGAACGTTATCTCAGTCTGTTAAACTAGGATTGGGTTCCTTGTGTGCCCAAACTGGTTCAGGATATGGTGAGAGATAAGATCCGCCTTGCTCATCTCATCTTCACCCATGGGAAGACTTTGTGCCTAAGGCCTGGGGTCTGTCTGGGTCAAGGGCACACATGGCCTCTTTTAGACATTTCCACTGGATGCTTCTTCATTGAACCTGGAAAGTCGCACTTCCAGACCCAAGGAAGAGGGATTGTCCTGTGGTCTCAAGCAAACAAAGGACCCATAGGCTCCTGGAGAGAGTGATTTTCTTGCACAGGGGTCTTGAGTGAAATTAGAGTCGTTTGTTACTCTTGGGTTATGAAGTAGGATGGAGAAGAAGAGAGAGGAGGGAGAAGGCAGGTAATCGTCATCTTCTCAACATTGATTTATGACACTTCTAAAAGCGGAGTTACTCACAGAGTTTTCATAGTAACCAAGAAAACATGATGGAACAAGTTTGGTCTGTCTCTTTGCCTTCTGGAAAACTTTTTCTTAACACTCAGGTCAATAAAAGCCAAGGAGATGAAAGGAAAAGTTTCAAAGCAAACACACCCAGTTTTCTCTACTTCTAAGTCTCTGCTTGGGCTGTCACTTCTATCTTGTGTGCCTTCCCTCTCTGTGCTTGCTGTAGTCCTAAGCATTTGTCAAAGCTCCACTCAAGTCTGTCACCTTCTAAGAGCTTTTTCTTTTCTTTTTTTAAGGAAGATTAGCCCTGAGCTAACTGCTGCCAATCCTCCTCTTTTTTTTGCTGAGGAAGACTGGCCCTGAGCTAACATCCACTCCCATCTTCCTCTACTTTATATGTGGGACGCCTACCACAGCATGACCTGCCAGCTGGTGCCCCGTCCGCACCCGGGATCCGAACTGGTGAACCCCCGGCCGCCAAAGCGGAATGTGAGAACTTAACCGCTGTGCCACCGGGCCAGCCCCTAAGAGCCTTTTCTGATTACTCTAAACCAGAAATGAATTCACCTCTTTCTGGACTTTCATAGCATCTATTGCTTGGGTTATTTCTATGACATTTACTATTGTTATTAGTAATTCTAGTTATTTATGTTCAAGATCTTATTACTATTCTGGGTTGTAGGTTCCTAGAGGGTTAGGACTGTGCCATAGATGGAGCAAGTGGAAGATAAAAGATTATTGATGGAGTAAATGCATTAATTAAGGAATGAAGAAGGTTAATGTGGGAGACAACTGGGAGTAGAGGAGGATCTCGTGTAATGGAAAATGGGAAAAGATTCGTTAATGAAAAGAGCCCCCAGACAGTAAAGTGGTGGCCTTGTGCTTGTTTGCTAAAGTTGACTAAATTCCAGGGACTTTAAAGATGATGATGGCCCTTTTAACTTGAAGAGGTACATTTAGGTCATTTTCTAAGAGAGATATTTGGCTAAAATCAGAAATTCCTTCAAAGGTTTACACAGCTTTTGGATGCTTGATTCCTAAAAAGTTTAAAAAGTGAGCTGGGGGAGACTAGGTGACATTTTGGCCTTTAGGACAGGTGCATGGATGATTGATGTGGCACCTTGTACATGGCCCCTTCAGTGTCCTAGTAAGAGACAGATGCCTGGGCGGGGAGGGGTCAGAGGCTGGCTCAGGGGAGTTGTGCTGATGTTCCTGTGAGGCACATGATCTTCTGGAGGCTGGGGTGGGAGTGGGGCTGTGTGGGATGATGGAGAGGAATGGAAGACACATGGGTGTATCTGAAGAGAAAAAGTCATTTGGGAAATCTGGGAACTGGGGGATCAGGTATAGGATGGGAGACTCTCCTCCTCCTTTTCCTTTTCCTTCTTTTTCATCTCCTCTTTCCGTTTCTCCTCTCCCCCTTCATCTCCTCCATCTTTTCTGTGGAATGTTGCCTAAGAGACAGAGCAACTCTCTGGAGTCCTGGGAAGCAAGGAATCCTCCTTCACTGTGTTTATTCATTCATTCTTTGGCTTGCTTTCAAGGGGTTACCAGACGCATTGAGAAGATGGGCAGAGGTAAGCCCTCGCTTTCCAGAAGGAGGCCCCTTCATTAGTTTTGAGTGGAAGATCCTGGAAGGTTCCTGGGGGAGGAGATTTCTGTGTTCCACTGGACACAAGGAATTACATAGGCAAGGAGGGTGGACAAGGGCATTCCAGGCAGCCTGGAAGAAAGAATCCTTCTTAAGAGCCTGTTGAGAAGAGAGGAGAGCCTGAGGCTGACTCAGGAAAGCGACGGGTGAGAGACTGGGGAAAGAGTCCCGCTTGGTTGAGATTTCCAGAGGTTTTCTACAACAGGGTGCATGAGATGACCTTGTTCATGCCGCATGCATTTCTGTGTCTTTGGCTGAGCCTAAGGAGAAAGAGACCAAACAGGGATGTGCAGAACAATGGAGAAGCCAGGTCGTGTTCTCATAGAGGTGGGTGAATGCGGTTAGGAAGATCCCAGAATTCAACACCTCTCAAAGGACTCTCTGATTAACATTGAGTTGATTACATTGAAGGGGCTCAAAGTGATTACAAGGGTCCTTCAGTATGGAAGAGGGGGCAGGAGAATCAGTGTCAGAGTGATGTGACGTGAGAAAGACCTGACTGGCTATTGGTGGTTTTGAAGATGGGAGGAGACCCTGAGCCAGGAATGCGGACAATGTCTAGAAGCTGGAAAAGGCAAGGAAACAGATTCTCCCCTAGAGCCTCCAGAAAGAAATGTAACTCTGTCGGCATCTTGATTGTAGGCCAGAGAGACTTGTGTCTGACTTCCAAAGCTGTAAGATAATTCGTTTCTGTTGTTTTGAGCCACTAAAGTTATGGCAACTTGTGACAGCAGCAATAGAAGATTAACACATCTTCCCAATATCTGAAACTCTTGGCAACTCTGGAGGAGAGAAGGCTCAAATGAAGAAGTAAAATCCCAGCTTAGCACTCTCTCATTTAAGGATATACCTACTCGTCATTTCAGCCCCTCAATCAAAGACTAGGTTTTGGTAGCGTATGGAAAAAGAACTGGACGCAGGATCCCACTGAGCTAGGGCTGACTCCACTACATAGAGTATGTGTAATATTGGATAAGCTGCTTAGTGTTTCAGAGCCTCAATTTCCTCTTGTTGAGATACTGTGATACTTTTTCACAGATTTCTTATGAAGAATAAATTAGAGAACATATGCACCAACACTTAGGGCCATCAAGCTCCTTAGAAAACGTTGGTGCAATCTGAATCTGTTCAGGACACAGCTCCTTCACCAAGCCTTCCTGATACACCCCATTCTCCTTGTTCCAGCTCCTCTACCCTGTCCTCCAGCATGCAGTCTTTGACTTATACTTTTTTACGCACTGTGCCCGGAAGACCTGGCTCTGTCCCTAATAAGATATGTGCCCTCAGGCAAGTCCCTGACTCTGACCTCAGTTTCATCATCTTTAAAATAGGAAAGTTAGACTGGGAATCAATCAGGTCCATGCCAGCTTTGTGATACTATGAATGTGATCATGAATGATTACCCTGGGTGTCTATATGACCTTGTCAGTATGTGGGTGCATGTGTGTGTGGGAGCTCTTCCTCCTTGATTAGGTAATCCACCCACAAGTAGATTCAGTCTTCTGTCTTCTGCACATGGCAGTGTCCCAGCTGGGTGGGTGAACGAATGACCTTAGGTGACCTATCATTTCCTAGGTGCAAAGAGGGAGTATTTGGGATCTGAGCCCTCAAAAATCAACCTTAGTGGCCCAGTATCTGGGACTGTGGCTTGAATGGCTTTGGGGAGATTGTCCCACCTCACATCTTAAGATAAAGTGACTAAATAGTTTCTCTAACCATCCCCAGCCCTCAAGCAAGATTGGGGCTAATCTGATTTAATGCTATCTGAAATTTCAGATTTTAGATTTCTGCAGCTGTCATTATTGGGAGCCAGGGTGTAATTACACAGGGTCAGCAGAAGAGAGTCAGGTGTGTGCAGGACATCGCTTTTTTTTTTTTTTTCCCCGTTCCCATTAAATAACTATCTCCTTTGTTCAGATCATGAAAGTTTCCAGACTTCTTTGATTCACTCTGCTGGCTCCATCTGCATATTACAGGGCAATGACTATGATAAAGCTGAATGGTGCAGAATGTGGCCCATCCTGTTTCCTGGGGAACAGGTGCCTCTGGAGAGCTTACTGAGCTTGTGGGTTCCTGGGCGAGAGTCCACCACTCCTTTCACTTCTCTTCCTCCTGTGTCACCAGCACAGGGAGTCTGAATTAGAGTTTGTGGGAGGGGTTGTG